TTTAAAGAAATGAACTCCATGCAATGAACTTTCCTCTTAGTACCACCTTTATAGTATCCCTGAGATTTTAATATGTTGTGTCAGTGGTCTCATTTACCTCTAAGAATTTTTTTATCTCCTCTCTAATGTTTTCTGCTATCCCTTGATCATTTAGTAGCATATTATTTAGTCTCCAGGTGTTGGAGTAGCTTCTGTTTTTCATTTTATCATTAATTTCTAAATTCATTCAATTATAATCTGATGGCATGCAGGGTAGTATCTCTATTTGTATTTGCTAAGAGTTGTTTTATGGCATAATATATGGTCTATTTTAGAGAAGGATCCATGTGCTGCTGAGAAGAAAGTGTATTCACTCATTGATGAATGAAATATTTTCTATATGTCTGTTAAATCTAAGTTATTGATTGTATTATTGAATTCTATAGTTTCTTTGTTCAGCTTTTGTTTGGAAGATCTACCCAGTGGTGAATGTGTTGTGTTAAAGTCACCCAGTATTATTGTATTGTGGTCTATTTTACTCTTGAATTTGAGAAGAGTTTGATGAATGTAGGTGGCCATTACATTTGGCCTTTTCTTGTTATCTCATAATTCATTGTTTGGGGTATAAGTATTTATAATTGTTATTTCTTGTTGATGAATGGTTTTCTTAAGCAGTATAAAATGTCCTTCTTTATTCCTTATAATTAACTTTGTCTTGATGTCTACTTTATTTGATATGAGGATAAAAACCTGTGCTTTTTTACACAGTATACGTGTGTAGTATATTTATTCCCAACCTTTCACCTTCAATTTGTGGATGTCTTTTCCTATGAAATAAGTCTCTTGAAGGTAGCATATTGTTGGTTTTTTAAAAAATCCGATCTGCCAGTCTATGTCTTTTGATTGATGAGTTTAGGCCATTAACATTCAGGGTTATTATTGAAGTGTGGTTTATATTTCCAGTCATTTTGCTTTAATTTGGTCTTTAATTTGACTTGGTTTCTTCTTTGATTGGCTTTTCCTTTAGTGTACTTCCTCTCTTTGC